GGCAGGGCCTGCCACCCCCCTGGCTGTGGCTCAGCTCCCCCACGCTCCCCCGGGGCAGCCGCAGCAAGGTGGGAGGCAGGGGACATCCTCCCTCTCCCCAGCCCCACTCTGCCTGGGGGGACAGAGTTGCATCCCGGGCAGTAGCTGGGACTCCTGGCACCCCCCACCCAACACAGTGCTGAGGACCGGGGGGGCTGGTCCTGGCTGCAGCATTGGGAAGGGCAGGGCCTGCCACCCCCCTGGCTGTGGCTCAGCTCCCCCACGCTCCCCCGGGGCAGCCGCAGCAAGGTGGGAGGCAGGGGACATCCTCCCTCTCCCCAGCCCCACTCTGCCTGGGGGGACAGAGTTGCATCCCGGGCAGTAGCTGGGACTCCTGGCACCCCCCACCCAACACAGTGCTGAGGACAGGGGGGGTTGGTCCTGCTCCAGGCCCCAAGGGAGAGTGCAGGTAGGACCCAGACCTCTCCCCCGTTCACAGACCACTTGCTGGTGAGACAAGAGATGTTTTAATGGAACCAGTGCTGAGCCAGTGCTCCCTCCCTGCCACACTCAGTCGACCACCAGGCTGCTGCTGACTGCTGGCAGGAGCTCGAAGAAGCCCTGGAAGGAGACAGGCCGTAAGGGTAGCAAGGGGTGAGGGGACAGGCAGCAGCTCTCTGTTGGGTTACGTGCCCCACGTCATAGCAGGCAGCTGCTTGTAGAGATCAGGGCCACGTTGCCATGGTAACCCATCACTGACTCAAGGCAGCGCTGGTTGCCATAGGAACTACTTGGGGACGGCAGCCCAGGGAAGGCTGGGATGTGAGGGGGAACCTCCGGAGCAGCTGTTCCAGAGGGGTGGGGAGCTGGGTTGGATGGCCAGATTCAGTCCCAGGGTGGGGGCTGGAGGGGCTGGGGAGATGCAGAGCAGCAGGAAGGGGGCAATGGCATAGGACAGGGCAGATGGTGCTCACCTTGAAGAGCGTGATGCTCTGGAGCACCCCTGAGACGCAGCACATCTCCCGGATGGAGTGCATGGCCAGCTGCGGGCAGCCGATGTCCAGCACGCGCAGCCCCAGGCGGGAGGCCAGGATGGGGCCAATGGTGGTCCCGCAGGGCGTGTCGTTGCGCACCATGAACTCCTGCGTGGGGAGATGGCCTCAACAGCAACCCACACCATGCCCTGTGACCTCCCATGTGCCTCCTGGGCCTGAAGGGAGGCAACCTGGGGCAGGAAAGCAGCACTGTCCTTGAGCCAGGGTGTGAAAGCCCCCAGAGATGGGACATGCTGAGGCCAGGCCGCTCCTGTTCCCAAGCCTGTTCCCTGAGGCAGGCATGGAGCTAGAGCCCCAGAGCAGCAGGTAGTGCAGGCCCCAGTAGGGACAGGATATGCTAACTGAGGGAGTGAGGATCTGGCACAGGCCCCCTCTCCTGCAGCCAGGGGAAGGGCTGCAGCCCATGCTGGTAGCGTTCACGGAGGGCTGCCCCACCCTGCTCACCTGCAGAGGGACGCCCACGCGGGCGGCGATGTCCCGGATGACTGCTTCAGTGACAGCCGTGGAGGCGTAGCGCTGGTTGCTGTTCACTTTGATGACGGGGCCCTGCACAAGGGAAGGCAACGAGGGCCAGAATTGCCCCCGGGGATAGTCAGAGGCTCTGGAAACACCCGTGCCCAGGCAAAGCCATCCCACCCCAACCCACCTGTACATTCTTCCCTCCCTGGGTGATCTGGGGGGATGGGGACAGCCCTGTGATGGGAAAGGGAAGGGCTCTAAGACCAAGGCTGTGGTCCCCAGCGGTTCATGTGGGCAAGGCTACACTGTGCTGCAGGACAAACGTCTCCCATTGGAGTGCTGTTGAGCTGCTCCAGGGAGTGGCTGGGTGTTTCAACAGTGCTGCAGGACAGATAGACAGTGCCTGCCCCGGCCCAAAGCAGGGGGCTGCCCTCACCTTGTGGAAGGCGGGCCGATGATTCTCCTCATGCTTGTCCCTGCAAAAAAGAAGCAGGAGTTTCAAGCTACAGCTCTCCCATCCTGCTTCGGTAAGGACTGACCTGTCGGTACTCCCTAGGGAATGACAGGAAGTGGCACTGCTCAGGCTACTTACACGTAGTTAGGGTGCACAGCGTGAGCCATGTCGGCGCTGATCATGTAGGACTTGGCCACAGCCTCCTCAAAGGCTGTCAGGTTTTGCGGCGATGCCGAGATACGGCGCAGCACCAGCTCCGTCAGCAAGGACTCAGCACCCTGTGCGCTCTCTGACCCTACCTGCCAAGGACCACCATCAGCACAACCCACACAGCACAACCCCCTGGCATTCCAGGGGCTGGCTGAGCAACACAGGGCTCCCCAAAGCCAGCAGAGCAGCTTCCAACCACAAGAGTGCTTCCCACCTTCCGCATGGGCTGTGCTGCACAGGGGGTTAAGCAAACCCCACCTTGCACCGCTGGGGCTTGGGATCTACCTCTTGCTAGGCAGGGCTGGGGGACAGTGAAGAACGTGGAGCCCCTCCCTGTGATAGCCACCCCACAGCTGTGCCCCTCACTCACCTCCTCATTGTCGTAGAGCGCAACGAGACGCACATTGGGCTCCTGGGAGAGGGAGGAGGGAGCTGCACATGAGTCAATCAAGGCCTGGACAGTTGGAGGAGAAAGGACACCAGTTTTAGTGCCACCTCATCCCTGAAAGCTCAGCACTGAGCCAGCAGGAACTTCCCCAGGAGAACCCAAAGCACCAGGGAAGTGAGCCATGGACACACACATGGCCCAGTGACAGTAGGAGTCACCCTGTGAACTGCTGAGAACCCCACACACCCAACAAAGGGGGCAGCCCACATCCAACCCCGGATCCTCCAATAAAGCAGATCTATCCCATGGGAACATGCCTCCCTGCAGAGCCTCGGGTCAGCCCACAGCCCCACTATGCTGTGATGGGGTGTGCAGGGGCCATGCTGCAGCCTCCAGGCTCCTTTCCCCCTGCTGCTCACCTGCAGGGCGCAGTAGCAGCTATGCAGGTTGTCCAGCCGTGGAGAGAAGATGAATTCATCGAAGGCACCACCCAATGTCTGCAGGCAGAGAGTCAGGAGGAGCAGGGCACAGGCTTTGGGTGACCAAAATGGGGACCTGACTTTGGGTCCCCATTCCAGTCCCCTCATCTCTGCCCATCAGGAGATGCCTCCTCTCATGCTGCTCAGCTCTGAGCCCTGTCACGCCCCAGGCAGAGGAAGCGTGCCGGGTAAAACACGTGCAGTGTCAGCCTGCAGGCTGTGTGCAGGCAGAGGGAGCCTCCTTCCGTTACTCACCGCTGGCTGTGTATCTGCCAGG